ATATCTACGAATTACGTTAACTAAAAAAATATTATTGGAGTGATTCACAAGTGGTATTGGCTAGGATAGTCGCACCATCATCTCGTTGAAAAACTTTTGTTGGTCATCGACTTAGTGAAATACAAGAAATTATTAATGTTTATCAGTGGCATTACATTGGCTCGATATTGTATCACGGGTATGCGATCCAACTAAAATGGGGAAAATCTACTTTTGTGGTATCGACCAGACTTTCTACTTAAATATTCAACATTTTTGCCCGTAGTAAAGTATAATATTAGTCAAATACAACCAGATTCAATTATAAAAAACCCAGCACAGGGGGGTCGCGGCACAGTGGTGACGTAGCATAGTTGGATCAAGTATAGTTATCTGATAGTGATTAAAATCACTATCAAAATAAAACGCTTCGATGGAAATCTTTCGATAGTGTTTAATTTTAAAAAGATGGTGTATTATTGCAAAAGCTAAATGATCTCCATGTTCCTTATTAATATCCTGATTAAGATAAAGTATGTCGAATTAAAAAGGTATTATTAAAAAATATTATTTCTCATAAGAAAATTGTGTTGTTCATACACTTTTCAATAAATTATAGCATTATAAAGTTAAAAATACAAAAAATAAAATCGAGAATTTTCATACAAAAATAGTATTTGGTAGCCATTATCACCACAAAGACAAAATAAAGTCCGAAATTTTTTTTAATATTAAAGAACATTACATTAGCTTTAATTTAAGATATATATAAAAGTGTCAGACCTTCCGGAACATTTTCAAAAGTTATGTTGAAAAAGTTAATTTTTTGTAAAAAAGTTGTCATTTTAAATCCCCCCTTATAGGCAGGTTAAGGGTTAAATTTATGAAAAAAATATACAAAATGAAAGGTAATGATATTATTCATCTACATAAAAAAGAATTATATTGATATGTTTATTTTTGAAAAAGTTATGACACTTTTAAGTAAAAAAAATTGAAAAAATTTCGAANAAAACTAGGCGAAATAAGCAGCAAAAGTAAATTACTAAAACTGAGTCCATTTTTGAACATAAGAGGTTTCGTCTGAGTAGGCAGTACACTCAAGAACGCTATCACACTTGATAATCTTTGTAAAAATCCTATGCTACTTTCAGCAAAATGTCCGTTTACTAAACTTATATTTGTACAACTCATGTAGAGACAGTTCATGGAGGACCATGCAAATATACCTGTTGTGAGATGAGCGGGAATATTATTATAAAATAAATTTTAATCGTACGCTAAGATATGTATAAATTTATTATTAATAACATAATATTCATAAATCAAAGACAGTGATATAATTATTAATTTATTTCGTAACTTAAAGAACGGCAATTTACTAATATTAAAGATAAAAATATAGGCGATAGACACTATTTACACCAGCGGTATACCAATATATATATGCCGTAACAATATCCAATCAATAGAGAATAATAATTAGTTAATTTCATATATTTAATATGTTACGAATAAATTTAATTCTATTAACAATTTATTTGAATACAATTGAATTTATTTTAATAAAATTATGAATTATATTAATATTGCTTAAATTGCGTTTTAGATCACTATGCAAAATATGGTTTCCATGTCCTTGAATATTCCAGAATTAAAAAAGTCTTGGGGTTTTTTAATATATTCAATAAACAAAAAAATAACTATTAGTTAAATGAATATATTTTAAGAAAGAAACAAATAAATTAAATGCAAAATTATTCGAATGAAATTAAAAAAAAAAAAATTATATTTATATTATTTTTATTTTATTAAAACCTAAATTCTCATAAGTTTCTTTATTAATCTTCTCAATAAAGTTATTGAAAATCACATACATGGTTTTATGAATATCGGTGTATTCATTAAAAAAATTAATATTAATTAAGTTATAAAATTTTATCATCAAATCATACAAATCAGAATCCTTTTCAATTACACAATACTTCATCTGATATTGAGATGTATGAAAGAATTTAGTTGATAAATCTTTTGTAAACATTTTTATGTCTTCGAGAAATTCTTTTGGTTCAGAATACGTAATTTGCCCAATGAAAGAACTTGATGACCAATATTTCCTTCTCATATTATAAATAAAATTTCTACAAAATTCTATTTGTAACTCTATATTTGTTGCGGTATTGCGTTTTTCATTACTAACTTTCGTATATCTCAATGTCATCAAAGCAAATAACATATTTTTAAACATTTCATCAGATTTTACCATAATATCGAAAAGCGTAGTTGCACAGCTATTTTTATTTTCGTCTTGACAAACTTTATTAATACATTCTAACATACTAATAAAATATTGAAATATTTCAATACAACGGCATTTTAAAAACTCTATAGTGCAAGTCCGTATGTATGAATAATTAATGCCATTAATTGGAACATTTAATTGATCAATATTTATTTGATTCCATTTACTGAATTTATTTTTCACATTTATATGCTTCCAAAGTTTCCAACCTTTATGAGATAATAGAATTTCATATAATTGTAAGCCAACACTTTTTACATACTTTGTATATGTATAATATGTAAACCTAAAATTAAAATAATTTACGGCAATTTAATAATAATATATTTTAATGCACATGATAAATTCTAAAAATTCAATATTTGAATATTCTTATGTTTCGTAAAAGTTACTATTGAAGTATAATTTTCTGTTAAGTATCAGTACTAGAAACTGACCATCCTATACTAGTGTAGTACAGGTTGACGTCTTGTCTATGTACTGGTCCATTAAAGGCGGTCAAAAAAAGATTCTCAAAAAGATTATTAGACTACTTGAAGAAGTATTAACTATAATACTAAATATATATCTAATTAAATTTCTTACAAACTAGAGAAGTAAGAAGTCTATGTAATTCATGAGCATATTTTAGTACAGAGTAATTCCTGAACTAATCCACATAAATATTTTCAAATATAAGTATATAATATATAAAAATGTGTATAATATAGAAATATATCTTAAAGTAAAGTTTTGTAATATACTTTATTATGGAAAAAAAAATTCGGACTTTATTTTGTCTTCACTTTAAAAATGGCTACCGAATGATATTTTTGTGTGAAAATTCTCGATTTTATATTTTACATTTTTTACTTTAAAATGCTATAACTTTTTAAAAAATGTATGGATCAATATAATTTTTTTTTATGGAAGCATGATGTCTTAAACTATACCAAATGATGGTATATTTTTTTTTAAATCTGATCGTTATAATATTTTTTGTTATTTATTTTCTTTTTATCGATATTTTAATACCATTTTAAAAGTGATCTTTTGATATTCTTTCAAACTATATTAAGGATAGAAACCAATTGAGGAGAGAGTAAGCAATAGAAGGTTGTAGAGGTGATAATAAAAAAACCCAGCACAGAGGGGTCGCAGTACATTGGTGACGTGGCATAGTTGGATTATGTATAATGATATCTGACAGTGATTAAAATCACTATCATAAAAAACGCTTCGATGCAAATCTATAGATAGTGTTTCTTTTAAAAAATTGGTAGATTATTCCAAATGCTACACGATTTCCTATATCCTTATTTATATCCTGATTACAAGTTTTACGATTTATAAGTGTAAT